TTTATTGATTTTTTTTTTAATTCTTAAAATTTTTTTTTATACTACTCTGAATGACAGAAATAGAATTTAGTGGAAAAAAGAAAACAAAAATCCTTTGAAATCTCAAGCCACTATATCTTTCATGGTATTTTTTTAGACTGCATTCTCAAGGGGCTAAAAGGGTTTCACTTTTATGTAGCTGAAAGTATTCTTTTTTTACCCACAAACCACCAAAACATGCCCTCAGGTGGAGGATGATTTGAGAAGAAGAAGAAATGCACTTGTGAAGAAAAACAACATAAATATCTTGGGCCTCTAAACATCTTGGGTCAGAAGGTATAAAGCTATATAAAAAATCATCACACTTGGCTTTTTGGTTTCTGAACTTGTATGTATATATATAGGCCTATAAAAGATGAAATTGGTAAGGTTCAGTCTTATAATAAAATAAACTCAGAAAAAACATAAGCAGAATTTGAGCATATGTTATTTAAGTTAATTTTGGATTTGCTGTGCTCAGTATTTTGCTTCTGCTCTGAGAAGAAGAAGAAATGCACTTGTGAAGAAAAACAACATAAATATCTTGGGCCTCTAAACATCTTGGGTCAGAAGGTATAAAGCTATATAAAAAATCATCACACTTGGCTTTTTGGTTTCTGAACTTGTATGTATATATATAGGCCTATAAAAGATGAAATTGGTAAGGTTCAGTCTTATAGAAAATAAACTCAGAAAAAACATAAGCAGAATTTGAGCATATGTTATTTAAGTTAATTTTGGATTTGCTGTGCTCAGTATTTTGCTTCTGCTCTGAACTGTTTTCTCTCTCTCTCTCTCTCTCTCTCTCTCTCTCTATTTGTCTCTCTTAGTCTGTCGCATGCATGGATTTTTGGGGAAACAGGATGTATGTGGTACGGGTTTCAGGGCTTTGTGTTTGGCATCGGTTCTCTCATCACTACCTGTCTTATCTCCCTTGACCGCTGCTTCAAGATCTGTAGCTTTCAATATGGTAATTCTCCATTTTTCTCCACTGTATTTTTGTTGTTTTCGTTTATTATTTTATATGCAGATGATACTTGCAAGTTAGTTAAAATATAGGCCTAACCAATCATTCATTTCCAACAGGTGTTACTGATGAAAGTACAGAATTTGGTTATTCTTGTTGGACAAATAATTAGCACTATCACTGAGGGAAATCAATTTCCCCATAATCTGATACCCCTGTGTTTCTCAAATAAGAACACATATCAAAGAAATAATATCATTGCCTTAGTACATAGTATTAATATTGCTGAATAATTTTTATGATAAGTGGAATCTACGTTGTAATTATATTAAATAAACAAAATCATTTTGAGCAGCTTAGTCAAGAACGAGTTTCAAGTACTTTAATGAAATGAAATGAATATGCAAATGAATGAAATATGAAATATGTTTCACTGCCCAGGCTCCAGGATCTCTGCATAGAAATTAAATTTAATTTCATAAAAAAAAACTGCCTGCTTTAAAATCAGACATAAAAAAAACGTTTTAAATCTCAAAATCTTTTTGTTGTAAATTTCTCACAAAATCATTCAACAGCACTTATTTTTTCTCAGGCAAAGAGAGCATGTGCTGAGAAAATGAGATCACTCAAGCTGGTTTGTGATTGAATATATTTATTACATTATTTGCATAATTACAGTTTGCCTACTTGAAAGTATAGTATGTCATTGCACAAGATCAGAGATAATAGTTGTCATTTATGCATATCCAGTGCACAACTTCTGATGGACTGCATATCTTTCTCTCAGCTAACAGAATCAGGCTGTGACAATCGATATAATAATACCCGGCTAGTACATTTCAGTCCTATCCAGCAGCTATGGAGCCATCAAGTAAACTTTCAGATGTTTACTAATGTACTTGTTCCTTTGTCTCAGGTCAGTGGATTGAGAGAAAACATGCCTCTCTGTCTGTGGCTCTGGTGTGGATCTATACATTATTCTGGGCCTCACTTCCTGTGTTTGGCTTTGGTAGTTACGGCCCGGAACCGTTTGGAACCAGCTGCACCATAAACTGGTAATGAACCGTAACCGTTAGTAATACTTGTAAATGAGTCGCTAACCAATTCCCCAAAGATTAGTTGGTGTTTTCAGAGTGCATTCTCAAGGGACAAATATTGCGTTCACTTTCAAGCAGCTGAATGTTATTATACCCACAAACCACTGGAACATCCACACATCACAGATGTTGATGTGTTAATGCATTGTTTCCTGTGGCTTCAGGTGGAGAATGAAGTCTTCACTCAAGGACAGAGTCTATATTTACCTGATCCTTTCACTCTGCTTTGGAGTTCCAACCTTCATTATCATCACTTCATACCTCGCTATACTCATCAAGGTGAGAAACATTAGAATTAATAATGATTCTGAAACACTTAAAGCCAAGACGTGTGTAAAAATCATTTTGATTTATTCTGAGGATGATGTTAACAATCAATTGTTATTGGACTGTTTAATCCTAATGTTGGCTGAAGATCTATTATGGTGAATTGAAGTGTTGCTACAGTGTTGTGTGATTTCAGGTGTATCGGTCTGGTCGTGTATTGGCTTCAATCCCTTCATCCAATGTCACTCACAACAGCAAAGATCTCCGGCTGACAAAGGTACCAGCTCTGATTGATCACCCATCATACCTTTGTAAAGGACCCAATTCTCAGACACAATGACTTTTAACATGGGATATCTTAGGGTGTTTTCACACTTGGTCCTTTTAAGGGGTCTGAGCATCGTTCGCTGGATTTGTGGCCAATATGTGAATACTCCAATTGGTCTCAGACCCTTTTAACATGAATCAATGTAAAAAAAACAATTAAGTAAATATGGACAAAAACAAAAATTGAAAATACACATTAAAAATGAATAAAATAATCAGAATAAGACAATGGCTGCTCTGCTGTTACCTCCACACAACTATTCATTTTTTTTTTCCTTTTTATGATTCACAAATAACTTCTTTTTTCCTTTTTGTTTCGTTGCAGATAGCAGCAGTGGTGTGTTCCTCATTTCTGATTGCCTGGACTCCCTATGCGATCGTTTCGCTCTACTCCGCTCTGACTGCTAGAGAGGAGCACACTGGAGAAGACGGAGGAACCGCTCTCACGGGTGGAATGTCAGCAGCGGGGGTCGGCCATGGCGGAGGGTTGTCTGACGTCTTTGGTTTTCCCTTCCTCATTAACTGGACCTCTTCAGAACACTTCGGGGATGCTTTTGGCTCCTGGAGGAATATGACTTCTGATCATTCCCATCATTCAGTAGGGCATCATGGATCAAGTTCAACTGTGGGTTCTGCACACGGAGGAATGAATGGACATCAATCACATCTTGTGTCCATCCTGAAGCCAGAGGTCTCACTCATTCCAGCAATTTTGGCCAAGTCACACTGCATGATAAACCCCTTCATCTACCAGATCATGAACCGTGACTTCAGGGAGGACGTCTATGACCTCCTGTGTCTGAGAGCAAAAGATGGAGAGAGGAGGAGAACAAGGAGCACCGACGGCAGTGATTCTGATGGTCAGTATCTATCTATCTATCTATCTATCTATCTATCTATCTATCTATCTATCTATCTATCTATCTATCTATCTATCTATCTATCTGTCTGTCTATCTATCTGTCTGTCTGTCTGTCTGTCTGTCTGTCTGGCTATCTGTCTATCTGTCTATCTGTCTGTCTGTCTGTCTGTCTATTTATCTCTCTCTCTCTCTCTCTTTCTCTCACTCTCTATCTATCCGTCTATCTGTCTGTCTGTCTCTCTCTCTCTATCTATCTATCTATCTGTCTCTCTGTCTATCTACCTGTCTGTCGATACTTATGTATTTTCGTTAATTTTATTTCTCTGTCTATATTTCTTCACGTTTCTTTCTCTGTCTCTATATATTCCACACATGCAGGCTATCGTGGAAGCGTCACTCTCTCTTATATTCACAGCTGGAGGAGAAGAAGCACATCTACCAGTCAGTCGTCTGGGGAGCGTGTGAAGAAAGATTCCTCACGGAAGAGTAGAGGTAGTAAAGGGAGCCGAGGGAGTAGAGGTCAGAGAGGGTCCTGTCAGGACAGTACAGCAGTCGGGTGGGCAACCTTGGATACTACAACCTTAGATACGCAGGTCAACTTAGAAAGAGAGAGAGGGAAGGCGGTGGAAAGAGAGACGAAAAAAGAATTTAGTGAACCCACCTCTAACAGCTTGTTGACGGGTGAAGAGTGATGCTTGCTGTCTAAATAGACAGCAGCAGCATAGTTCATAATGCAGTTAGTTAGCTCGAAATATCTGTTGTTTTAGTAAAAAAAACAAACAAAAAAAACAACAGTGTTTCTTTTTTCCATTAGTGCCATCCAGTGTGTGATTTTGCACCTATCCAGTCTCACACTGGTGCGACACATGAGGCTCTAGTTAGGACTTATTGATTTTGTCCTTTGTGTGTTTATAACTGGATCCTGTGTATTTATTTATTTATTAATATATATTGTGTATCAAGATATTTAATGGATTTACTTACTGTATTTATGTTTTTACATATTTAGAGAGCACTATCCACTCCAAAGTATTTCAAACAACTATTTCTGAATAAATGTGAAATGTAAATAAAGTCTACAATAATGAAACGACTTTGATGTTTACTTTGCAGTTTCCAAATAGATAAAAAAAACTCCTAAATCAGAAATCCTATAAGACTCAATGAAGTACAAGGGCTATTTGTTGCAGATCTGTGACGTCAGCGTTGCTTTGTTGTCATGCTGCATGAGGTAACATCTTTTTACCGTAAGTACCATTCTTGGACAAACACACAAGGGGAAAAGCACACGGAGCGCTGTCATTCGCCTTCGAACCGTGATAGATTATATATAAAAATAAATCTGCGCAAAGTCATCTACCAAATATTATAGACACAAGCTGAGAGCTACTGCTGATATTACGGTAGTGTCCGCACTGAAGCGCTGCAGAGACACTCGAGAGCGCAGGTGTATTCAGGTTTCCAGCCAGGGAAGAAACAAGACATTCGTTTGGACCTATTTTAAATGTATTTCGCTGACGTTAGTAATTATAATATTCTTTGCTTGTTTGAATAGGGGCTTTGCATGCTTTCATAGTCCATATTTTGCGCTTCTATCGGTTGCTGCAGTCTCCTTCAGCGTCTTACTCAGCATTTACGCGCAAGCTGTAATACTCTTAACTCGTTACATAAGGCTTTAACGAGTTAAATGTGGACATCGCCGTGTCTTTGGGTCGCCAAACACCACCTTTGAAATCAAGCCGTTAATTATTTTGAAAGTCAGACATAGCTGGTGTTCATGCCCGATCTGCAGCGCTTCAGTTTTCCGCACCATAGCATGAATTCTCCTCTCCATCAGCAGCAGCACCAACAGCATCAGAATCCAGAAGGACCCGGTCATCCCGATTCTCCCTCCGGTTTGCTCCCCGAGGCTGCTGTCCTCGGAGCTCCTGACCCATCCTCGTTTTTCCTCGGAGAACAAACCGGCCCACAAACCGCACTTGACCTTACAGCATCCTCTTATCTGCACTTCAGTCCATCGCTCCACTGGTCCCAACCTCCTCCACCTACAGCCATGGCATTGAGGAACGACCTGGGATCCAATATAAGCGTCCTGAAGACCCTCAATCTGCGGTTCCGATGCTTTCTGGCTAAAGTGCATGAACTGGAGAGACGCAATAAGATATTGGAGTTACAGCTTCAGCAGGCTTTAAACAGCAATAACACGGGTGGATGCGTGGAGGACGGAAAAACCAAAGAAATTGGTGTGCAGACTGGGTTTATTGGGCCTATCGCTGTCCGGCCTGGGTCTTTGTCCTTTCAAAACACCAATAACTCTGCAAAACGACCCACTACGTTGTTTATGCCTTCTCTTACGACTGTCCTCAAGCTTGAGCCCAATAAAGCTGACGATGAGAGCACAACTGACCCAAACACTTATAGGAACCCAACCATCACGGTTAGTCTCTCAACACCCACCACTGAACCCGCCTCGGCCAACACCAACAACTCCAATAATGCTCTGCATGTGAGCAGCGTTGGCACCAGGACGTCTCCCAACCCTCCTCCTCGCTTCCTGCCGGGCACTATCTGGTCCTACAATCACACCCGTAAACTGGGAAGCGGATCAGAGACTCGGGTCACCAGTCCTGGAGTGTCGTGGGTCCACCCGGATGGCGTGGGTGTCCAGATAGACACCATCACCCCAGAGATCAGAGCACTTTACAATGTCCTGGCCAAAATCAAAAGGGAGCGGGATGAGTACAAGCGAAGGTGAATATGGGGAATATAGATGCTTTTTATGGCTAAATGTTTGTTAATGAGAAAGAGGTTTCTGTTTTGGGCCCTTAAATGACAGGTCTCTGCTGCAAAACATCCTGCTTTTCAGGAGTGTTTCGAGAATCATGATGGATTTGAGACATGATTGCTACCAGTTTGAATGACCTCCTGAGATCTAGAAGCTGTTTTGTGTGTTTCTTGTTAATATATAATATAATTATGGATGTTCAAATTCTAGTTGATACTGATAAGCTGATAATGGGCCTATCGCTGTCCGGCCTGGGTCTTTGTCCTTTCAAAACACCAATAACTCTGCAAAACGACCCACTACGTTGTTTATGCCTTCTCTTACGACTGTCCTCAAGCTTGAGCCCAATAAAGCTGACGATGAGAGCACAACTGACCCAAACACTAATAGGAACCCAACCATCACGGTTAGTCTCTCAACACCCACCACTGAACCCGCCTCGGCCAACACCAACAACTCCAATAATGCTCTGCATGTGAGCAGCGTTGGCACCGGGACGTCTCCCAACCCTCCTCCTCGCTTCCTGCCGGGCACTATCTGGTCCTACAATCACACCCGTAAACTGGGAAGCGGATCAGAGACTCGGGTCACCAGTCCTGGAGTGTCGTGGGTCCACCCGGATGGCGTGGGTGTCCAGATAGACACCATCACCCCAGAGATCAGAGCACTTTACAATGTCCTGGCCAAAATCAAAAGGGAGCGGGATGAGTACAAGCGAAGGTGACTATGGGGAATATAGATGCTTTTTATGGCTAAATGTTTGTTAATGAGAAAGAGGTTTCTGTTTTGGGCCCTTATATGACAGGTCTCTGCTGCAAAACATCCTGCTTTTCAGGAGTGTTTCGAGAATCATGATGGATTTGAGACATGATTGCTACCAGTTTGAATGACCTCCTGAGATCTAGAAGCTGTTTTGTGTGTTTCTTGTTAATATATAATATAATTAGGGATGTTCAAATTCTAGTTGATACTGATAAGCTGATAACTGCTGCTGAGGGTGCCTGACTCGCTCTGCCCTCTGATAACCTGTGCATCAGTCACGAACATCTCTGCTTTTAATGCAGGGCAGACTGCAGTCACTGCCTCACATGAAGTGGTTACTTTTCAAACCTGAAAAAGGCTCGACCCTGCAGGTGTTCAAGACAACAACAAAGTGGTCACGAGAGTGGAATCTGTTAAAAAAAGAGATTGAGTTGTGACTTGCAGCTTTTGTGGGATAAAATAGAGCATAAATCATTTTCCTCATCTGCTGTTAATCGTGTGCAGAGACATGAAGTAGGGCCTATATATTTCTAATGGCTGCTTTAGTTATTTGAATCAAACTGAGGTTATTGAATGGAGTATTGCAAAATCTATGGGATAAATGTGCTCTTAGTAGAACTGTGAAGGTGATATGAGGAGGTTTTTAGGAAGGGCGGAGACAGATGTGCGGTAACATATACCCAAGGCTTTTATTAATATTACCAAGCTAGAGTTGAACATGAGAAGCAAAAGCACGGAAGATCATATGTACAGTATGTAGAAGATAAGAATCAGCTGGAGGGGAAATAATGGTCGTGTTTCACATAAATGGTGGTATTCAGTCAGTCTCACAGCTCTTTATGTCCAGACCTGCAGCAGCCGGAGCGCCTGCACATTCTGCTGTCAGTCACGTACAGCAGCTTTATTTAGGGCTGAGTGGACTGTCAGTTCGCAAACTCATTACTGTCTGTTGACTCATCAGGACAGGTAAAAAAACACTGTTGAAAAGCAGAAAAGTCATTTGGGTTCTCTGTCTCAAACCCTTCTGCTTCATAACAGATGTTATCGTGCATCTCTCCGTCTGACTTCTTCACCATTTGCTCTGGTTTCAGCTCTTCTCAGACTTTCTTTTCTCTATTTATTTTCTGTTTTGGCTTTCTTATTTAGTAAGCATTATTTTGCTGTCTCATCCTCGAAAGGCTGTGCTACTTAATGTTTTTATCAATACTTTTTTTTCAGGATTCTATAAATATAAAGTACAATAGAAAAATAAAAAGTAGTAAAAGGAAGCTCAAAAGAACAGGATTTATTTCAAATAGAAATCCTATGTGACATTATAAATGATACTTTGATCAGTTGTTTTGATCAGTTTTGCCGAATAAAAGTAATCATTTTAAACTTTTGAACACCATGAGACCAACATTATGTAAACACCCCTTTCTAAAAACTGAATTCAGCTTTGTTGCAACAGTTTTGTAAAGGTCTTTTCTGTTCCAAAACAACCTGTGCAGCAAAGTCCATAAAGAAATTGTTGACAGTCTGTTGTGACTTAGTATCCTAATTAAACACCTTTGGGATGAATTGGAGCTGCAAATCAGGTTCGTTCTCTCAACATCAGTACCTTACCTCCCTGATGCTCTTTTGTCTTCTTCAACATTTAATTTGAAAAGTGTGGCAAACAGTATTAATCCCCTCTTTGCTGCTGTAACAGCTTCCTCTCTTCAGAGACGGATTTACACTAGATGTTGAAACAGGGATGCTGGGATTTGCTTCTATTTAAACTGGAGAGCATCAGGGATTGCAGGCAGTGATGTTGAGTAAAGGGGCCTGTGTTCCGATTCATCTGAAATCACACAGTTGAAATCACACTATTAATATAACAAATATTACAAAACATAGTCATAAACAGCTAAATTGACCAATGTTTGATTTAATGAAAAAAGTTTAATTTGAAAAATGTTGCAGAGAATTTCCTGACTATTTTTGAGTGATGAATGATGCAAATGAATCGTTGAATTACAAATCATTTACATGATCTGTTCAAACTGATTAACGAAAATTAATAGATTTTTTTAATCAGATAAAAACTATTTTATATTGTGCAATCCTTTTTTTTTTTTTTTTTTACAATATTACAGTTTTACTGTATTTTTGATCGAATAAATGCAGCCTTGAAAAGCATAAGAGGCTTCTTTCAAAAACATTAAAATAAAAATCATACTGACCCTAAACGTTTAAACGTTAGTGATTACCACAAATTATGTGCTTGCTCTTTCATCAAATAAATGGCACATTAAGATTTCTGAAATTAATTGAACACACTTGCCATTTGTATCATTTGTTTCATTTAGACAGCCACGGCATCCAGCAGCAGTGATCTATGTTATATCTGCATTGCAGTACATACACAAGGACTCAGAGAAGCTGCAGAGATGCAACCTCTCTCTCTCCCTCCCTCTCTCTCTGTCTGTCTGTCTCTCCTCTCCTCACTCCTGTTATCTGTCACTCCTCTATGTAATTGTGTGTTTGCACCTTGAATTGGCAGTAATGCACGGCCTCAAACTAACCTTGCAGTCCAGTGAGGATGTTTAATAAATATAGAGGCTTCTGCAATGCTCTGAATGTTAAGTAGCTTTACATAAGAACAGGGCTTGTTTGGTTCCACCTCATTGCACTATACTACTGCACTGGACAATATTACCGTTGAACAGCCACACAGTAAATTACTGTAGGGCTGACTGGGCTGATGGATCAGTTAAAAGGACTGAATGGATGCAGTCATTGCACTTCAGTTGAGCTATAGCATACTCAGAGAAATAAAAACACTTGCACATGAAGATCACTGTTTTCTTCTGTAATAGGACCAATACGTGCTTTGCAGTTGCTTCTTCCTGCTTTACAAGATCTTCCAAACAACATTAAATGGTATTTCATTGATACTGACTTTATATTGCATTAAAAGATTAGGCTAGTTTGCAAAAAATTTAAACGTTGGCCATCATTTACTCGTTTTCTTACGTGGAACATAAAAGGAGACATTTTGAAGAATGTACTGGTTGCACTTTTACAAACAATTACAGTGAATAGAGGCTGGAGCATTTACACTCAAGTAAGGATGTAAAATCACCATAAAAGTATATTAAAAGTGACCCATATGACTTGTGTACTTTGACCAATTGAATTAGTTAAGGGAACCAGACCAGCCGGTCCACTGATAGATTTGACTTTAAATTTTAGTTGATTTCTCAAGCAAAGCTAACCTGTGGTTTCAGAAGGTTTTACATATATATTGCCAAGTCTTATTGACCACTTTTTTTAACAAGTTGTTAGCTAGTTAAATAAATGACATTTTAAAGTTCCTGTTGTTGGGACAAACTATGCTGTTGTTTCTGATGTTCTGGTTTTCTGCTCTCAGATGGGAAGAGGAATACACCATGAGAATGGACATGGAACAGAGAATGAATGATCTACAGGAGGTGAGGAACACTTTTTCATGTGCACTTATAACACGTGCTGTCTACAACACTTGACTTAATTTAATTTCTGTTTTAATTTTCTAGAGTAATGTGAAAAACAGTCTTCAAATATTTGCACATTCGAAAATTTGGGGTTGTTAAGATTTTTTCTTTTTGAAAGAAGTCTCATATGCTCATCAAGACATATATTTGCATGCATATATTTGATCAAAATACATTAAAACTAGTGCTGTCAAACGATTAATCGCGATTAATCACATCCAAAATAAAAGTTTTTGTTTACATAATACAGTATATGTGTGTATACTGTGTTTATTTATTATGTATATATAAATACAAACAGAAGCATGTATATGTTTAAGAAAAATATGTTATGTTTATATATTAAATATATTTATATATAATATCAAATATAAGACTATGAATATATATAAATGTATAAACATGTGTTTGTATTTATATATACATAATAAATATACACCATACACATACATTTATAATGTAAACAAAAACCTTTATTGTGGATGCGATTAATCGCGATTAATCATTTGACAGCACTAATTAAAACGGTAATATTGTGAAATATTTTTACAGTTTAAAATAACTGTTTATAATAAATATAATTTATTCATTTGATGGCAAATCTGAATTTTCAGCAGGCATGATTTCAGTCTTCAGTGTCGCATGATCCTTCACAAATCATTATAATATGCTGATTTGGTGAGAGAAATCTTTCATACTTTTTACTTTCACTTCTGATCGATTTAATTGCTCAATTTCTTGATGAATAAAAGTATAAATTTCTTTAATAAAATCTTACTGACCCCAAACTTTTGATCAGTAGTGTGCATCACTGAGCCTGTGTAAAGAGATCAAATAAATGTTGTTGTCTGTTTTTGGTTGAAGCTTTAGTTCATATAAAGAAACTCGCTCTGAAACTGTTCGGCCCTTGAGTGATTCATTTCAGCTTGGGACTTTTGGAATGTTTTACCTTTGGGATCAAATGTCACTTGGATGAACTAGGATTCAGGGAAAGCTTTGAGTTTTCAACCGATTGAAACTGTCAATGAGTAGATGTTTAAAGGCTAAACTGCAGTAACAATTTTATATACTATATAATGCAATAATCCCTAATAATTTTTTAATTGTGAAGTTCTTTGTTTATCTCAGTGTTAATTTAATATCTAGATTAATAAGATTAAACCTAGTGTTGGTCTAAATTAGAGCTGCATTGATCATTCTTAATTCAGTTACTTCTAATTACAAAATGTTCTTAAGCTTTTCTAAAGTAACTTAAATATAAGTTGAGTTTCTAAATAATCATTCAGTATGTAATTATGTACGCTTTTGCTCTATGTAGGATTATTGCCGTACTAACATTAAGTAAAGAGTTGTGTTGGGTTTTTGGAAGGACTGTTCACTGTATATGAGTAACATCTAGATGATTTTGTCTGAGAAAATGTCAGTGTGTTTGTATAGAAATTTAATTGTTTATTAATAATAATTATGGATATGCATTTGTGTAGGACCTACAGGAGAGTGAGGTGTGTCAGGATGAGCTGGCCCTCAAGGTGCAACAGCTGAAAGCTGAACTTGTGCTCTTTAAAGGACTCATGAGTAATGTGAGTATGAGAAGCAAAACACATGCACTCTCAGCACACTCAAATACAGCTAGGGCTACAGCATACAGAACAGGAAATTATCATCCAAAATTTAAATTATACCAGTTACTCAGCCTCATGTCATCTTGAACGTAATGTCATGCTCCCTTGTAAAAAAAAGAAGTGTCTTTAATTGTATTGAATGTGCACTTGTAGTGTACTTCAGTTCTTAAAAGTATATTTAACATATATAAGTAACTAATAGAAAACCCGTACTTAAAGTTAATATAATATGAATTAAATAAAATGCCACTTAAGAGTGCACTTTCATGAGTTTTTCAATAATGTCAAATTAAAAGATTTCTTTAGAGTACTTTTTAAAATTATTACGTTTTAATAATATTTTGTCATGCAATAAAGAATTACAAGAGAAAACAAAAGAAGATATCTTAAAAAATGTTGGTAACCAAAATGTTGACGTATCGTCTTCCGTAGTGACAAGACAGTGGCTACCGTCAACTGTTTGGTTACCAACATCATTTTTGGGTGAACTATCCCTTTAATATATTTGAAATGTACTACTTTTCAACTTCTTCATTGCAATTGTGTAATTGCAAATATATTTAAGTCCTCAAAGTTTGTTTTTTTAATCAAATGTATGTCCCAGTCACATTTTTTTGGTTAAATAAACATTACTTACACTATTAGAAAAAGTAAAAAATTAATTCTAAATAATTCTATTTTCTATTTTTACATTAACAATGCAATCAATATTCTTTTTATTAAAGCCAAGTATGAATCTCATCAAGTTCGTTTTTAAGCATTTTACATTTACAATATTTGCAATAACAACATTTAAACAATATATTTTATTTGTGAATTTATGTTTGGCTATTCTTTTAAAAAGTTAACTTTTAACTAATTTGGAATCATTCAGTCATCAAAGCTTGGTAAATATTGGTCACAGACACTGAGATTTACTACCAAACTGATTACTCACTAAAAACTCCCACAGATCAGATCAGTTTTCAGGCCATTTCAAGTCTTATTTTGACATAACAAAGTGGTTGTATCTAAGTGTATGACTTGTTTACTCTTACACAAGAGGCGGGATTTATCGCATGAACCAATCACAACCAAACATAACCAGTCATATCACGAGGCATTGCCTCCTCTCACGTGACTTTCCCCCATTCATTCTCAAATACCCCCAGCAAACTCACTCCCCTGTTTGTTGGTCTGTTAAAACTCAATGAGCTCAGGGGAGGCAAGACAGATGCCGACTTCCGCTGTGACTTTACCTGTTGGTGTCGCTGTTGCACAGTGTTTCTTTAGAAAAACGAGTGATTCACAAAAAGTAAAAAATTAATTCTAAATAATTCTATTTTCTATTTTTACATTAACAATGCAATCAATATTCTTTTTATTAAAGCCAAGTATGAATCTCATCAAGTTCGTTTTTAAGCATTTTACATTTACAATATTTGCAATAACAACATTTAAACAATATATTTTATTTGTGAATTTATGTTTGGCTATTCTTTTAAAAAGTTAACTTTTAACTAATTTGGAATCATTCAGTCATCAAAGCTTGGTAAATATTGGTCACAGACACTGAGATTTACTACCAAACTGATTACTCACTAAAAACTCCCACAGATCAGATCAGTTTTCAGGCCATTTCAAGTCTTATTTTGACATAACAAAGTGGTTGTATCTAAGTGTATGACTTGTTTACTCTTACACAAGAGGCGGGATTTATCGCATGAACCAATCACAACCAAACATAACCAGTCATATCACGAGGCATTGCCTCCTCTCACGTGACTTTTCACGTGTTTGTTGGTCTGTTAAAACTCAATGAGCTCAGGGGAGGCAAGACAGATGCCGACTTCCGCTGTGACTTTACCTGTTGGTGTCGCTGTTGCACAGTGTTTCTTTAGAAAAACGAGTGATTCACACACTTTTTAATGTTATATTTTGTAATATTTGCATTGTTTTATTTTTGCACTACAAATTTTTTCTCATCCAATATTTTAAGGAGGCTCTGCCTCCTTTACCTCCTCGGAGGAAACGCCCCTGATGTACATGTACATTCAGTACATTTGGTAGTACTCATTAACTATATTTTAAAGGCAATAGAAATAATTATGAAATTACATATAAAGATGTACTTAAAGGCACAATATGTAAGATTTTTTATTAAAATATCCAAAAACCACTAGAACAGTGTTATATATTTTGCTGACTTGTGTACTTACATTATCCCAAATGTTTCGAAGAATGTTTAAATCCAGAGAAATAAGCAATTTTTAACTAGTGACACGGAGTGTGTCCATAGTGTCATTGTGTCGCCTGCCAATGATGTCATAACCCCTCGATTTACGGTTTTGTTTTGTAGAAAACATGGAAACACCAAAGACCCTTTAATATGTTGTGCGTTTTAATAGACCGGTGACGACCGCACAGAGTAGCATTATAACAGAACTTTCAAATGTATATAAAACAGTGCTGCTTTTTTCCCCACATACGCGCGACCGGAAGGAGAGGAAGCGGTCGACTGTGGCATAATAAAAGCTCCGCTGCTTTCGAGCCGTGTGTCACACTCGTTCAGCGGCCTCGTTTCGCTTCGACGGCTTTCAGCCTCACCCTGCTTCATTCTACTACGTTAACAAATCATTAGCTCATCCATGAACATGATTTCTGCAAATGTCTATTTGTTTATTTTGAATACGCGCCCTCTAGCGTAAAATGACATATTGTACCTTTAAGTCCTACTTAAGTGGGTCAAAAAGCACACAAAAAGCTAATTGCATTTAATATAAATGTAATCTATAACACATTTTCATATTTTCTGAAACATTACATTCAGTTCATACTTAAGAAGCATTTGTTTAAAGTATATTATTTCTGTAATAAGTACTCTTTTTAAATGTATGCTAAAGTGCACTTCTTTTTCACAAGGGCTGTTTGTGCGTTTCCATGCAATGAATGTAAATGTGTACTAGGTAAAGGGTGTCAAGATCACATTGGTTGACCAGCACTAAAAGCAGCTCTAACCTAGCATGGAGGAATTCATGATGGTCTAAGCTGTATTTCATGGCAGCCATTTAATTTAATGGCATTGCTCATGTAGAGTTTAAATCAACAAATCACACACACTCAGGGGTTTGTTTCTGACGAGCTCGTGAACAATATGTGCTTTCATAGCAGCTAGACTCACATTTTTTGAGAGCAGACACAGTCATCACATTTTCTGGAGAAATGAATGTGCCTTGTGCCTTTGTTCACATAAATGTTCACACACAAACACATGTGCCAAATACATGTAGAATTTCCCACCTCTATACTTTCCGCAATTTGCACTTTATTTAAATCTTTGAATGTGTTTCATGGAATTTATTATCTGAAAATGAGACATTACCCTCCTTTTTATCAACTACTTTTCCCAGAAATGATTGATCACAGAGTTCAAAGAGTTAAAAATAGCTTGTTTTGTGAATGAGTTTAATAGACACATGCCGTTCGCTGCAAATCCAAGGAACGATACAGACATCACAGTTTGCCTCATTGTGTGCCACAATAGACGTGCCACTGCGGTTTCAGTTTCATATTGTCTGGATCTCCAGTGCCTTGAATGCTAAACAGAATACTCAGAAATTAGTTATTAGTTATCTAATTACTCTTGCTTCAAATGACACACATAAACCCACACAAATCTGCTCACTTACAGAACCTGTCAGAGCTGGACAGTAAGATCCAGGAGAAGGCCATGAAAGTGGACATGGACATCTGCAGACGCATTGACATCACAGCTCGCCTGTGTGATGTCGCCCAACAAAGAAACTGTGAAGATCCAATCAAGATCTTTAAGGTATTCAGAAACTCACACTTCTGCACCTCCTCTTTTTTCTCTGTTTTTCGATTGTTATTGTTATACTACATGTTTAATCTCTCTATAGTTGATCTTTGTCTGAACACTGACATTTTTTTTGGTGTTTTCTAATTAAAAAACAAACTAATTGAAATCCTTAAAAGAAGAAAGTTACTTAAGGAACAAATTTTATAATATTTGAAAGATGCAAGGCTTTGAGAATGCAAAATTACTATTAAATGCTGAAACCACTGTGAATCATACAACATTACAAAGTCCCCAACTTTTTGTAAATGATCTCTTCTTTTCTGATAAACATTTTAATAACAGTTTCATAAGAAACGCCTTTAATGTTGGTTTCAATCCTCCATGTAAATCGAATTGGCTTAAATCTCACTATAAATTATGGCACAGCGCCAGGACGTTACCTTATAATTATGTTATTTCTAACAAAATGAAGTAATTTACAAAATTATTCATAGATGTTTGAAGTTTTTTTTAATTGCCCACTTTCTGTTTCAATGTGGACTGATTTAAAAAAAAAAAAGGACAGGAATTTTTTTCTCGAAATTCTACATTTAGAGCCTTTGATATTTTGCTTCATTTTCAAAACCCACATTTTTTCTGAAAAACAAAATGACATTATTATAATATTTATTAATTAATTTGGCACAGTTTTATATATTAACAAGACAAGAACTCAAAAAGAAACCATCATATATTACCTTTTGTAATACTGATCTCACAATATGCTTTCCAAAAAAACAACAACAACATATAAAAACAATAGAAGCACTAAAGGTTTTCAAACTGATGTAACTGCCCAAATATTATAAAATGTTTTTTCATTTTCTTTAGGTTTTTTCTTTTTATATATTTTTATTTATATATTTACATATTTGTACATCTTATATTTCTTCTTATTCTTTATTTCACATATTCTGAACTGTACAACAATGCATTATATTCTTATATTCCCCTTCTGTATTTGAAAAAAACACAGCTTAAGAACAGTTCATAAAATATTTCTTGAATTTTTATAATTTTTTATAATATTTCTTCTTGTTTTCAGCTCTGTATATAAAGTGGAATATATTAGTATGTATTATCACCCAACTCTAATCTGCTAAATATATAAGACATAAAAATATTAAGATATTGTAAACAATGTCATTATGGTGTTCTATGAAGCTGCTTTGAAACAATGCACGCTGTGTAAAGCACAGCAGAAGTAAATTTGACGTGACTTGTTTTCAGCACGAATCTAACAAAATTTAAGGAGGTTTATGCTTAATACAAGATCAATGTAATGCCTGATGCTGATGCAGTTTCAAACATATTACTGGAAAACAAACCAAAATGATCTTCTGCAGTGAATGTCATCTATGGTGTAATCTTGCACCCTTGTAATTCACACGACACCCCAGCCCCCTCTCTATGTCACTGACTCAGCTGATGTGAGTTTCTGCTGACGCCTGCTATAATGTCTGAGGCACAAAGAACTGATGTTGCATTATGGGTAGAAGAGGGGAGCGGTCCAACCTATAAATCATTTTGCATGCTTGTTTCAGTACTACACTGGGTCAAAAATGTTAAGGCTATGAAATGGCCTAACCCTCTCTTTCTCTTGCCATCTCAGGTTCCCAGCCCTCAGAACGCCATCACCTCTCGTGCCCGCAAACAAGCCTCACAACCTGCCAATGGCAGCGAGACAGATGAGCCAGTCAGCACATCTGAGAGTGATGGAGGTGGTGCTCGAGAGGATGAAGTGTGCACCCCTTCAACCCTCCAGATCAATGAAGAGATGCAGAGAATGTTGACCCAACTGTGAGCCATTGGAAATGCTTTGCAATGTTTGCCCAGAGCTGTGGTTCCTAACTGTTCTTTTTACAGTCTTTTTACAATTAATGTAATGACTTAAACCGTGTCTTTGCCAGGCGGGAATGTGAGTTTGAGGATGACTGTGACTCTCTGGCTTGGGAAGAGACAGAGGAAACGCTCCTTCTGTGGGAGGATTTCCCAGGATGCACTTTAACAGCAGACACCAGTCAGGGGGAGGTTAGTGCTCTGCATTTTGGATTCATTCTGGCTTATATGTGGTTGAAATACTGTTCTTGTTATTTCTTACTTCCTTTTTTAGTAAATGTTTATGTACATTCAAGGGTATTTTTCAAACTTTTTGCCCAACTTGATGATGATGTTTGGCACTAAAATGTGACAATTTTTTTTTATGAGCATTTTCCAGTTTTTGCTACAGTACTTTAAACACTTTTATGCAAATTACCTCTGTTATGATTGGCTAACCTCTTTGAATGTGAAATAAAAATGCTAGCGAGACCAATATAATTGCCATTGGCCCATTTTTCATTAACAGCCTTCTGTGCAAAGACTTCATGACAAAACAAAATAGTAACTCTTAGAAATGCATATTCAATAAGGTCAGGCGCAAAAATAACTGTGTCCACGTCTTTTCAGCTCTAATTCTTCACTGCGCGTCTTTAGTAAAACCTGGCAGTATTATTTTAACGCCAAAAGACGGTTTGCACTGGCCCCAAGAACCTTATTGGTGCACCTATTAAATATTCTTGGATTTTGTTGATGTTTACTTTTTAGTATTCATCTAATACATCTAAATTTATTCATTCATATCTTGTTTTTCAGTATGAGTGACATAAAAATCTTTATATCAAGATAAATTGTGAAGCAAAATGAAATAAGCCTTTTGACAGAAATCTAGTTTTATGAGGTTTATAAAAACGTTTGCCGAAAGAAAAATAAACTTAAAAGCTTATTAATTAAGCTTTATATACAATGTTAATTGTTAAGCATAAACCTACACTTTTGTTGTATTTATATAAAAACAAAAAAAATTGAGTGTTTTATAATTTTGTTTTATAAAAAAAAAACAAGTGATGTAGTGTGTAGTTTCTCTGTTTTAAAAGTAACATTTTGCTTTCCTTTCTCATCTCTCTCCCAGCATTATGCTCTGCTTTATATCATAATTCATATCTTTCCCATATTTTCCCCCCTATTGTAACTCATGACACTCTTGTCATTTCCACCACACCATTACATTTCCTCAGACACGCACTCTCTGCCGCTCCTCCTGTCTGTCTCTCTTTCTTTTTCATTAATTTCTTAATGTTTGTGGTGAACTGCTGAGTATTGCTTCATCTCTCAGGGTTGGCAGCTCTAACAGAAGCCAGGCAGTGGCAGCTTGATAAAATTCGACACAGGTTGAAACTCAGATTCACATGCTCGCTCAGAGTGTCCAAAGGAGAATGAGATTCTGGTCATCCAGTCGTGGGGTTCGCTCATAGGACACATGCAAACACACACACACACACACACACACACACACACACACACACACACACACTGCGCATATTTAGGTCAGGGATTCTTAATGTTTGTGGTGAACTGCTGAGTATTGCTTCATCTCTCAGGGTTGGCAGCTCTAACAGAAGCCAGGCAGTGGCAGCTTGATAAAATTCGACACAGGTTGAAACTCAGATTCACATGCTCGCTCAGAGGGAGAATGGGAGAATGAGATTCTGGTCATCCAGTCGTGGGGTTCGCTCATAGGACACATGCAAACACACACACACACACACACACACACACACACACACACACACACTGCTCATATTTAGGTCAGGGTACTCAGTCCAGTTTGCTGGGGGGCGGTTCGATACTAAACATTACTGACATTAGTTAATGCGATGTTGGCTGGAAGTGTGTTGCGTTTCATGGAAAGCTCAAAGGATTCAAAGTGTTTAGAGTTTTCCATCAGCGGGGTCATTAATCTAGTATTTTATTTTCCCTCTGGTAAAATCTGATCTGCTGGTGAGTGCTTATGCTTCAGCATGAGATAATGTGTCTGTGGCCTTCTTTCTATCTGTCTGAGCAGGAGGAGTGCTTGGAAAAGGTGATTAAGGACACTGAATGTCTTTTTAAGTCCAGGGAGAAGGAATATCAGGAGACTATAGACCAGATAGAGGTGAGAAGTTTACATTAACCAGCATTTTACTTTACATTCATGCTTTTTTCATTCTGTTGATTCTGACTGACTGATTGCAGTATTATATTAAGCAAGAGTACAGTCAGCTGATCATTATCACAAAATAAACCCTTCGGTTTTTGAAAAACATCCTGTCAGGGATGCAGCACAGTACTTTATCTCCTTCATACAGTCATAAATCATATATTTTATGTACATGTTATCGTATTACTCTTTTCTTGTAATTTATACTGGATGCTAAGTGCAAAGTGAATAAATGTGCTTAGAAATGTATAGCAGCCCATCAGCCCAGGCTTTATGCAGTATGTTTCTCTGTAGTTGGAACTGGCCACAGCAAAGTCGGACATGAACCGTCATCTTCATGAGTACATGGAGATGTGTAGCATGAAGAGAGGACTGGATGTGCAGATGGAAACCTGCAGGAGACTCATCACTCAGAGTGGAAACAAGTATGCAAACATCCACAAACATATATTGGATTTTGACACTTAAAACTGTTAGCATGGTTGTTCTTAACCCTGGGTTATCTTGTTTGCTCGACTTACCAACATTCTTCAAAATATCTATTAGTGCTCTTGACGCAGATTGTATTGATGCACAGGCACAGACATTTCCGTACATTCACGTTGTTTCCACACACATTCACGATAATGTTTTGATTTGTCATGTGTATGTTGCTGTGTTTAGTTATTCTGAATGGATCTGTGTACTGTAGTAGATAAATGCAGTCAGCAGGCGGTTGGTTTATGGGTTTTTGGCATCTCCATGTAGTCCTGTTCGGTATCGCAACTTGACTTCTCTAAAATGTAAAAAAGCTCTGTTGCACTGTACACATAGGCTACTATACAATTCTGTTTTTTTTTTTTTTTTAGCATTTTTTTTCTTTCATATGTGCTTATATGGGCTCCTTATATCATTTGGTTCTTTGGTGTCCTTTTGGAGTCCTATTTTGGAAAGACATTTAAATTTATCTTGAAAAAAGCTTGCTGAAAATACAGATTTTTGAGAATCACCCTTCAATCTTTTGGTTTTATAGCAAATGATGACAAAAGAAACTTTTGAAACAAGATAAATGGTCTATGCTTAATTTCATTTCATTGCGATTAATCACATAAAAAGGGTGTGATTAATTAGATCAAAAATGTGAATCTATTGACAGCCCTAATTATAAGACATCACTAAAATAATGAGTATACAGTCTAATATTTTGTGAAATGCTCTTCAGTAGACTTCATTTCTAGACTAGACTTGCCTGAGGTAAATGAACCCATTACACCCCTAATGCTAACATAGTTATCGTTATAGTTGTTTTTATAGTTAATGTTCTTTGTGTGAATGGGCCGTAAGGCAGTTAATGATTGATTTTCTGTTGCTAAATAACTTCTAGCATCGTATTGTTTCATACTTCATACCTCTGGCACCCTATTTGGTCTCAGCACCACAGAAACTGAGCAGAGTTTCATACGTTTTTTTGTTTTTTATTAAAAGTGTGAAATTTTGCTTTAGCCACGGTTAAAAGTGGCCTAACATTTAAAAAGACAATAACTGTACTATTTTTCCCGCAGCATAGGAAAAGTATATTTTGTTGATTTTTCTCTTTGTCTCTTTTCCCACCATACAGTAAATCCACTTCTTCTATACCTGGAGGTGGTACAGATGCAAACGGAGAAACAGAGAGGGATAAAACCGAGGAAGGAGGAAGATAATGATGCCATCAGATCTGAAGAAGGTGTTTGCAAGAAGAAGAAAAAGTGCCCCTCATCTCTTCATGGCACCCTTCATCAGCCCTTCTCATGTTTTCGCAGTCTATCCAGTCACTGCCTCTAGTGGTGGTAAATGGAATTACACTGTGTGTGCTGAGTGCCCAAAAGTGAACATGTCCTGTGACATTTTTCCCCTGTGGTTGTGCAGCGCAGCTTTACTGTTTTCACACCTACATAATCTTAAAAGATGAGAGTCCTGACAACATTGTTTGCTTTTATCTGCTTTCATTGAGCCCATCCACCGGCGGGTATCGATCATGTTTTCCGATCCGATGGCCAAATGTCTGAGTCATCATATTTTCAGCACCGAATACAATCACTTTTGTTTTCGGATGTCTGCTAGAGAATCACTGACAGTGTTTTCGCAAAGTTTCCATTTCCTAGAGACTCCGAGGGGACATTTGCTCTTTTATCGTTGCCGTATGTACCGTTACGTGCCCCTGTAAGCCGTGGGTCAGTAGGTGTGTTGTGCTTCCTGTCTGAGCTGTTGTAAATACTGGGCTGTTAATGCTAATGAAGGGTGGAGGTAACTGTAGCCTGCACGTCCCCCATCTCTGTGCTCAAATTCACACAAAATATATGACATTTCATGCTAACGGTATTGTGCTGATGCCAGGCTGCTTCGGAGTCTCGGTTGTATTTGCTCTCAGAATAATGAACGCTTTGACTTCCTCTCTTGCAGGTGGAAAACATGAGTGATGGGTGAGGTCAGATGAGTGAGATTTGAGGATGTTATGGCTCGGAGTAGACGTCAGAGCGTTACGCATGTCAACTTCTGTTATTTCCTTTTTACTTTTCCCCTCATTTTTCTTCTTTGAGATCAGCGGTATTGAGTCGTTTTCTGATTTCAAAAACGTGGATTTCATGAAAATGCTGTATATGTAACGCTGCTGTAGATGTGAGACCTGCTTCAGTCCATTTCAAAGGTCTTTCTATTTTGGATAGTAAAATTTGGCATTTTTCTGTTTCGTAGACCTTGCTGGTGCCTCTGATGGCTGAGATTGATGCAAAAATCTGTTTGTTTGTCTGACCAGTTGTTTTCAATGGGACCAGTCTTGTAGTCCAGACTAAGATGACATGAGTGAAGTCCTTTAGAGCAAATTATATTCATGATAGGGGTCTCCTTGATCCTTTGGAGTTTTTAAGAGTATCCTATCTTGTTACAATAGATAGGCCTACCAGTGGACCTTTAGAAAGTGAGATCCTGATAGGTTATACTCACCAATGAATGATCTTACTAAATACTCTATGAAATGTTTGACAAACTTAGGATCTTACAAACAGCAGGATCTTATGGAAATCCTTTTCTGCCTCAAAAGAGTTTAAAAAAGATAATTGTGACTGTTTCTTGTAATCGCGAGGTACTTTATTTCACATAATTGCTATGTTATACGTATCTGTCATTTGCGAGTTTGTTTCTCGCAATTACAACTTGATGTCTTGCAGTGACTTTATTTCACATAACTGCAACCCTATACCTACATTTGCAGCTTTATGTCTCACAATTGCGCCTTTCTTTTTTCATAATTGTGTTTTTATCTCACAACTGTGACTTCGTATCTCATTGAGACATATTTCTTTTAACTTTGACATATCTCACAGTGACTTTGTTACTTGTAATTGCGACTTTCTGTCTCACAATTACAACTTCATTTCTAATAATTTTCTAGTGACTTTATATCTTATGATTTGACATTGTTTCTTTTGACTTAATATCTCAAAGTTGTGGCTTTGTTTTTCATAATTGCGATTTCATGTCATAATTGCAACTTTGTTTATTGTAATTGTGACTTTATATTTAATAACATTGTTTCTTGCAATTTGGACTTTATATCTCACGTTTCTCGTAGTGACTTTTTTTTTTACTCTGACGTGGAAAGGGGGAATATTTGGAGACTGATTTTTTTGTATGCATCCTGCAAATTAAGATTTGGTGAACTATTGAGTGTGAGATCTTGATGGGTTTGATTTATTGGATTAGACCTGTTAGAGATCTAAAAATCCCATGAAATCCCATGAAATATCATGAAAAATACAAATTTTCTTTTGTACCCACCTAAAAGAGTGAGATCCTATTGGGTTAGATTCGCAGGAGAATGATGTTTCAGCCGTTTTCTTGAGTAATATATCATGCAAATGAATGTAATCTGATTCTAGTCTAAAGTTCTCAAGAACCTCACATGATTTGTAATAATCAGCTCTTTTTTTGGTAGAGCACTCTCTTAATTCTAATCAAACAGGGACCCACAGGGACTAATACAGTAGTTCCTGAAGAAACTGACAAACCGACTTCTGGTTGGCTTTGTTGGTCATTCATATCTGTAGTCAAATATGTAGTCTGCGTGTAAACCACAGCTTGAATTCAAGAATAGAGACTAAAACTCTTTGAAAGAGACATTTCGAGTGCCAAATGTGAAATAAAACAGTCAGGAAAGATACTTCACACAGTGAAAATGAAAACCTCATGCTTTTGAAAACATGGTGCTGTACACCCTGTAAATTTCCGCTGAAGAAAAACAAAGAGTGAAAGCATTAATAAACATATTACAGTACATATCACTTTCTATTATGAGCCAGAACAGAATTTAATCTTTTAAACAGTATGTTATATACCATCCTCAGGTTGTTTTTCTTTTTAATCTTGTTCTATTTTTTTGCACACTGATTGATGAACAACACTGTGTGTCTGCCTTAGGTTTTTCCCTCTGACGACTGTGTAGTTCTGTAGGGGTTTTGCAGATTCATTGCCATTTTATTTCTATCAACAAGTCATTTATTTCATTTAAAAACAATGTTCTATGGGTACCAATTAAACTCTGTAAAAATCTTTGTTTGATTGGAAAAAAAAAAACCAGCCCAGAAAAATAAAAGGATGCGCTTGACGATTCATTAAAATGTTACAATTTGATTTTGAGGAAAAGGCTTTGTTTATCTGTGAACTAAATATTGCATTTCTGCTGCCAATAAGAAGCGCTGTAAGCCATTGTTCATTCACGGATTTTTTAATTATTATTATTTTATTTTCGTTTTTTTTTTTTTATGTTGTTTCGCAGCACTGAGCTGAACTACGTGTGTAAGATATGTATGCATGTGTAAATGTATGGAGTTTCTGCAATGAGTAACTGGTTATTTTCTACAGCAGTTTACTTGTTGTTTGTTGCTATATGCAGTGTTGGGGGTAACGCATTACAAGTAACTAGTAAAGTAACTACTTTTTTCAAGTAACTAGTAAAGTAACGCATTACTTTTTAATTTACAAGAGAATATCTGAGTTACTTTTTCAAATAAGTAACGCAAGTTACTTTTTTTCCCAATTTATTGATTGACAGCTCTTCTGTACCCATGATGAGAAAAATCAAAAGATGTTATTGTAGTTCTAAAACAAATATGAATATGCATTAATTCATCTCACTCACAAAAAACTAAAACACAGATTCAGTATTCCTCAAAATGAATAAAAATAATGCAACTCAGAATATGACGCAAACCTGCAATAATTAAATGTTAAACAACACAAATATCCTTTATGTATTTAATCCCATTCTATTAACCAATGTCTTTGCTTCTGACCTTCGATTATCCAGTTCAACCATACAAATGTTTGTCAAGAGTCATTTTTGCTTATTAGTGTGTCTTTTTTTATTGCTGAAGTGTGTTGAAATGTCGTCTTCTGCATTCTACTGTACGGACGTAAATTTACATTTCCTTCAGCCTGAGGCTTATTCATTTCACTTTTGGTGTGAAAAGGCTTTTATATTTGCCAAAAATATAAAATTTTTATTTTAAAGACAAACAAGCAAGCCCTGATTTAAAAAGTAACGCAAAAGTAACGTAGCGCATTACTTTCCATAAAAAGTAACTAAGTAACGTAATTAGTTACTTTTTTATGGAGTAATGCAATATTGTAATGCATTACTTTTAAAAGTAACTTTCCCCAACACTGGCTATATGACCTTAAAACAAAAGTATTTTACAAGAATTCTGTGAACAATTCAATAACCACAAATCCGGTCTTGGATGAAATGACAATATAGTAGACAGTCAGGAAAATGACTCATTGGAACTGACTGAATGAAGGGCTTTTGGATATTTAAAATTTGCAGTGGCTACAAACAATGAGTAAATTCCACACAATATCTTCACCAAAATAATAACAGAATTTGGAAAAAAAAAAGACAAAGTGCTTAGAAATAATGCTTATTAGCAATAACTGTATGAATGCAATGATGCTGTAACCTAGAAGAGACAAAGGAAGAGTTGTGTCCGCTCAAACGCTGGCTATGCAAGCAAGTCCTGAACCTTAACAAGAGAATTACAACATTTGAAATGATCACTTGGAACGTCTGAATGTTTTCAGAGTCATTCCTAGCATCTCCGTGTCATTCTGAATGATTCTTGTTCCTACTGAGGAATCGTATAGGGATGTTTCTATTTTAGGGACCTCCAAGGGTTCTCTTTACATTTGCACATGTGCCACTGTGGTTGTGGGTATCAGATGGCCAGGACCCACCTGAGCATCCAAGAGGAGGAAAAGGACCCAGACTGCAAAAATGGCGCATGTGCATTTTGATTTAAAGAGTAACAGGACTATATGTATATATAAATATGTATGTATGTAACCCAAAGCAGAACAAGAGCTGCTCGCTTCACTGCAAGTGTACAGAAAGACTGGAGCTTTAAAAAGATTTCAGAATAAAGGTTACTGCTGAACACACACACTGCGAGGAGTGGAGTTTTTGTGTCATAGTGTGTGTTTTTTTTTCTTTTTCATTCTATAGGTCACTTTTTCCTCTAAGTATCTGTTTTTCTGTCAGACTGTTACGCACTTAGTTGCTTAATAAGGTAGTACTGGAAAAAAAAATTTGGCAAAGAAATGGCGTAAATTGAAAAGACATTTAAGATCAAAGCCACAGACATTTCTGTGAGTTGACCTTTTGTCTGTATCTGCTTCATGACGATGATTTTAGGTCTGGGGACGTAACACTTAAAATGAGTTTGCTGGACATAACAAACTTTTCAGTTTTATGTCCAACAAGCTCCTTTTTAGTGTAGGCTATAGGCCTACATGTTTGCACGGAGCTGCACACAAAAAGAAAATAACTCGTTCAAGTTATTTTCTTTTTGTGTGCAGATCCGTGCAAACATGTCTGCAAGCGTATGAATATGTGTTCATATGTGTATATTTTTATGAGGCATCCCAAAACTACTCCAATTAGAAATACAATCACATTCTGAATGTGTCTTATAGCTTTACTCAAACCAGTAATAATGAAACATCAATGAAACCATGACAGCCGCACAATGAAGCTATTGCTTCTCTCTCTTTCTTTCTCTCTCTTCACAGCAGTAAGCAGGTGAAGGGCAGTGTGAGAAAGAGAGGGAGGGGAATGACAGGAAGACACAGCAGGTGAGGAAACAATGAGATGAAATGATCAGAACAGAACACAGACTGGCAGAAGACACAGATATAGAGACTGAAAGCATTTGATGACATTTTGGATTCGACTAATTGTGAGGTACCGACTATTTTCACTTATATTGCAGCTATTGTTATGCTATTTTTTTCACTTTCTTGTTTTTTTTTTAAGTGCAGGTCTTTCTTTTAAGATGTTGGCTACGATTTAAAATGACTTAGTTAAAGTAGGAGCCAGTCACATGCTTATTTGTTGTTTTCATCAGATCCACAAATCTACTTCTTCCTTTTTTGGCAAACTCAGCTGTTGCATAATGTCATGAACATGTGACGATTGACGTGAAACTTTAATCGCACTTCTAAATCACAGTTCTTTATTCGAAGGTTTCATTGTGTTTGTTCATATGTTCTCCAGTGACTGATGTAGAGTGTGTGATATGTTGTCTGAGTGGATCACTGATATAGTTGTATCGTTTACAGATGCTTGTGACTGTGTTATCTGTAGCCATGGTGATGCTGACAGGTCACCTAATGTATGGGCTGCCTATGGTAAATTATGTTATAATATGTATCATATATATTGTTCTTAAAACGCTTTGTTGTGGAGACTTGTAGTATGATGCATGTTCACATTAATCAACTAATCTGAATTGTGATCTGAACTAGTGCAGAACCGTACTTCGGTGTGCATTTTAAAAACACAGAGTCAGTAAATTGGACGCATCCATTACACATTTTCTTGTTTTAAACAGGACGGAAAAATGAGAAATCCGAGGGCCCTTTCAGAAGACCTGTGTGATCCAGGTAAGAAAGCATCTCGGGCCGGTATTTCTCTCAGTCTCTTGTATCCGGCATCACTTTCTCTGAACTCTTTCCCTGTTTTTGTGGAGTGCGTCAGCATATCTTTCTGTCACAACACTTCCCAGTATTGCATATGTGGTCTGAGCAAGAAATCAGGACATCAATGCTTATTTATTAGGTTTTTCTTCACCGTTCTTTCTTCTTCCTTTGCCTCTCTTTCTTTCTCTCTCGTGATGGGAAATGGTATGTTCTGACACAGAAGCATAAACCACTTCCTTCATTAGAATGCCACTGCCTGTTAGAGCTACTTTGTAACGTCCTGTTTTTGATGCTATTTCTCATCTCTCTTTTTAAGAGACCTCAGTCAGCAAGTCTAGAGTCTGTGCAAAAAAGTGTGGTGCATGTATGTGAGTGTGTCTGTGTGCTAGCACCCACATCCGCCTTTAAAAAATTCAACATGTGCCCTTTGAGCTGAATGTCTGTGCACAGTCAAATACAAATTGAGTTATTACACTTTTAAATGTGCTACGATAGTCATTTTAGTATCTATGCAGTGCATTAAGTTAAATACTAAACAGACATGATGGGAGAGATTTAAATGCAAAACCTTTGCACTTCTCTGATAAACTTTTGCGTTCACTTGCAAAACTTTTGTTATGGAAATTATTTGAGGTGGGAGGGAAAACTATTTATAGAATAGTTTTCTATAAAACGCAAAGAATCTCAGGGGAACGCCACAGTTTTGCTAGAGAATGCACCGTCGATTCAAAATGTTCAGTTAGTGGAATAAAACATTTTTTTTATTAAAAAAAGTCAATGAAACAAATTACAGTAGCAAGAAAAACACCCCCACACACGCACACACACCCCTCATTTAATTTTTCAACAAAGTATTTCCTGTGAATGTACAAGACCGATTCATTAGCCATCACAGGCAAATAAGAAAAATGAAGTGCATTAAACTGTAAAACTATTTGCGCTACAAGTTTGTGTGCTTATGATTATGATAATAAAACAGAGCTGCAAGCAGCAATTAAGAGTCCATGCACAACAGAGGTAAATTTTCAAAGCAGCAATCAACCAACTGCAAAAGTGAGTAAATAAAGACATTTGGAGATTATTTTAAGCAAAATGTTTGAAAATCCATAAATAGAATCACTTGTAATCAGGGGCGGAGCCAAGGGGTGGCCGTGGCCACCACTGACCTAAGCTTGGCCACCCCACTCAAAACTGCAGTTTTTGTCCCTTTTTTCTTGCCAAGAAATGTATTTATTACGGCGCGGAACCACCGTATCTCTTTATGACCACATCAAACGGGAGACTTTGCAGTTTAGGAAAAGTTTCAAATGTAGGTTTTCAAATAAAATCAAAATGGCAGACAAAGAAGTTATAACTGGTATCAATGTTCTCGGCATGGTCCAAGGAATCTATTCAAAAAAAGTTTTGACAATAGGTAAAATTAATTAAAGGCATTAGCATTTTTTTTAAATTTCATTATAATTTGTGACCACCACGTGTTGTAAATGTAAAATGTATCATTTTTGTCAAATTCATTTGCTCATTATTTGAGAACGGTTTGACTAATTAACTAATTAAGAGATGTAACAGCTAAAGACAAGTGAATGGCCCCTGTCTATCTTAGACAGATTGACAAACTCAACTTATATAGGCTTAAAGGCACTAACATCCTTACTTTGAATTCATTTGACCTTAAATGGCCTTCTGTCTTTTTTTGTCCTCTGCATTTCCACTTCCTATTTTTCCACTCCATCTTCCTTACTGTTCATCATCTCTTAGGATATTACAAGAACGGCGATACGTGTGCTCAATGCAAGTCCGGTTTCTACACCAGTGAGAAAAACAGTGAGGAAAGTTGCCACCGCTGCTTCCAGAACTGCATACCTGGTATGAAGCTCATTACACCTAATTAATCCATGATAGTATAAACAAGATGAAGTGAGAATAGAAACAGGAAGTATGGCAAAACATGCTTCATTTTGAAAACGTGTGTGTGTGTGTGTGTGTGCTAGAATTCAACATGGAGGTGGAGAAGAATTGCACAAGCACATCAAATTTAGTGTGTCGCTGTCGAGAGGGTTACGTTTGTTTGACCAAACCACACACACACCCATGTGACAGCTGCGTTCCTGTCTCCACCACAATCCCATCCTCCACCTCTGCTGATGTCCCATCATCCACTACATCCACCACTTCATCTACTAAAATTAAACTGGGTAAGCACTGTTGTTTTCACCTGCATGATGTGTGTACACTTGTATTCTAGGGGTAGTATGCTTAAAGCAAGGTTGGATTATGGACTGGGCCAATGTTTTGACAGGGGCTTCCAAAGCATCAGGTCCCATGGCCAGGGCCGGATTTATGCATAGGCCTATATCCAAGAGGACCCAATTACAATAAGGAGAAATAATTACTAGGCTATTTATTCTACAGGGTACCTACAACAACAAAAGAACCAAAACCCAAAAAGACATTTACCAAGCAAATAAATATAACACACAATAGGATAAAAACAACAACTATTTCTATGTTTTCCTGATGACACATTTAAATAACTGGGAAACACATTTTTCTCCCGCTATTTCGCATACAAAGAGACTTTTTCAATAAAGTAGTTTTGCAACTGACAAGCATACCATTTCTCAGCATGGAGGTGGTAACGTCGCTGTTTTTTAAGACGTTAAACTTGCATATTCGCTATTCTTCTGCCAAACACTGTTGAGTTGAACAGCTGGATACTGCTGTAATGTTGCTGTTAAGATTTGAAAAGTTACAAAGCTCAAAGTCAACTCCAAAGGAAGTTATTCCATTTAACAGAAAGCACTTTTCAAGAACTACAACAAATGGCTCGTTCGGACTATAGCACGCTTCTTCCGGATATTGTGGCATCACAGTCACTCATTTAAATAATTCCCGCCTACGGGATACACACAAATGGGAAGAGGCCTGGCTGAGCTACACTAGAGAAGACGAAGCTTTAGTAGCACGTTGTTGCGGTTATTGTAAGGGGGGTGACATTTCCAGAACATGCTCTAAGCGGTTCGCCAGTCACAATGCACTGGGCCAGTTGACCAATCAGAACACATTTCATATTTTGGAAGGAGGGGCTTCATCGAAACAGGAACTAAACAGTGCATTCGAGACAGACTGGGAGGAGAGATGCTGTAATAATGTAAAATATGTGAAAAATAATGAATTTTTGGAACAATCAAGCATAAAAACATTTTCTAGTAAACCCCCAAAAACCAAATCAATGCTTTATAAAAGGGCATAATAGGACCCCTTTAAAGTAGAGTAAGTGGCCTGCCACCAGGGCGAGAAGGAGGTGGAGTTGAATCCTTAAATCCTGACTTTTGTCAACCTGGAACCCAATAGGATTTCCTATTAGCTTTTGGATTTTTGTAGAAAATAAGCTGTTATTATTAATAAATTAATATGTCCTCGTGCATTAAAATCCCACACGCATGCACGCACACACACACACACACACACACACACAGTATATGTATAATCTTTAAAAAAGTATCGCATTACTAATGTATCTAACATTGGCAGAAGTATTTTGAGCTTGTGTTAACCACAAACATTATTTCAGGAATCAACAACACATTCAAACTTATTTCCGGGTTTCAAGGATCATTCGTGCAGCACTACAGAAAATCAGAACAAGTCACTTCATTCTTGATATTTAATTGCAGACATGCATTTTTGCCCGTTTTAGTTCTTAGATTACTCTTGCTATTAGCTGATACAACCTTTTTAGAGAACTGTTTCTTGAAGAGATCTTTCCCTTATAGGATCTTTTCCATTTAACCTGTTCAGCTATTCATCTCAACATAAAAGCTAACTTACATCCTTGTATTTATTTGACAGGTGACAATAGTGTGGTGTGGATTTTATGTGGATTAAGTTCTCTAATGTTATCCATTATCATCCTTATGCTGTTCCTCCGGCTCTGCAGGAAGGAAGAGAAGGAATGTTTTAAACATTGTGAGTAACACACACGTGAACACAAACATATATTTTTTTCTCAGATGTTTTGTGAGTTAATCACTATCTTACCTCTCACTGTCTCTTTTCTTCATTAGTTGTCAGGCAGTGCTCGTTGGGCAATATGGAGGTAAGTAATGAGCCATTGCACATTTTGGCAGTATGTGAACATGTCATGAATTATCTGACTCACAGTCCTTCAATTTCTTCAGGTGGACAGTGAGACTGCACCTCCTACTAGCCAACCAGATGAGCAGCCCCATGCCCAGGAGATGCTGTCACATGGCAGCACACCCACCAATCACAACACAGACTGCTCGTTTCATCAGCCAATCAGCTCAGAGCAGGCTGTGCCTCCAGCTGGCAATTTAGGTACTATAAATAGTTGCTTTTTGTAATTTTCTTCTTTTATGAATATTTGATTTGACTGTGAAATCATGTAAAGTGGCCAAACCAATAAACATAAGCATGCAGTAAAAAACAAAACAGAAAATTATATTATAAAGAGGACCACTGCAGACCCTCATGACTGTGTGACAAGGTCAATAAGCTGCTTAAAATATCACATAAATTGTTTGTATGTATATTCATGTAGGCTATGTATAAAATTAAATCTATAACAGACTTTTCACTTGATGGTTATGCAGTTACACCAAATGACATTTGTATGAATTATCCATGATATAATAATAAATTAAATAGTATATAAGAATTAAATAACCAGACATATAACAATTGAAATACAAATGTAAAAATATTATTATAATGCGTGTGCGTGCGTATATATTTTACCCCCATGGAAGCCTGTTTCCACAACTGAATAAAAAAATAAAACAAGGTAATTGTGACTTTTTATCTTAAAATTCGCCCATAAACGCACTGTTTATGCATAACCACTGATTCTAAGCCATCAGAACAGCAGGCAGTGGGATGCTGATGTTGACTGTAGGAAGAGTCGATATCAAAGGCTTTCACGTCTTACGATGGCTGAATGACTCTCAGGAAGTGTTTGAAAGCAAAGAGCAGCTCTATAACACTCAGAAGACCAAAGATTCACATATGTTGTGATATTTATTTTATGTAAATTTATTGAAGTCATTGTAACTGCAATGTGTCCCATAATTTCTTATTAGATATACAAGCTGAGAAACACTCAAAACAGATGGTCAGCTGATCATAAATATAATATAATATAATATAATGTAATATAATATAATACTATATTATTAGATATACAAGCTAAGAAACACTCAAAACAGATGGTCAGCTGATCATAAATATATTATATTATATTATTTTATATTATACTAGTCATGCAATGGAGTGTCAGTATATTAAGCACTCATGCAAGCGTATAAAGAGCAGGTTTTCTTTGTGAATTAAAGCACTGATGTGTTGTCTATAGTAGCACTGACCGGGTGATGTTGGCATGATCCATCCATATTGTCGTGCATGTCTGCTGATGAGAAGGAAACAGGTGAGCAGAACACACACACACACACACGCACAACACAGACTCACCGAGATCCACATTATATCTGGAAGAGGTTGATAGAAAGGGAGCAAATGGATGGAGAAAAGGAGAGAGAAAGAGTAAACAGGTCAATAGAGAATACACCTGATATACTCTGTGTGTGTGATAGACTCTTTGCATTCAACAGCAGCTACTTAAATAGATTGACAACAGCGGGTCAGGACACTCACCATGGGTGGGCGGTATTGTTTTAGTAGAAGCAGGAGAAGAAACAGTAGCTGTCTGAATCTTCTCACACTCCTGGCATTTACTGTCTCTGCATCTGTAGCCTTCAACACACGTGCACACTGCATCACTTGTCGCCGTACAATTCTTCTCATACTTCATATCTGCACAATTAAAACAGTGAAAGGGCTTATGTAGAACTGTAAGTGTATATCAGTTTCTTCAACTGTGAGAACTCACGCTTATCAAACAATAGTTCATTTAATTTTTTTCCCCCTCAGAACTTTCATTAAAAAATATAATTTCTACCATTATTACCACAATAAAATGAATGCTGATTTGAGATGTGGCGAAAATAATTGATTGATTGATTGATTGACTGACTGATTCAATAGAATTAAATAGAATTTAATAAAATGAATAAAATTTCATATGAAATTCTGTAAGAATTGTCAGAATTACTGTTTGATTGTAAATGACCCACAATAGAAAAATTAATATTTAATATTGACATTTACCTGGACTTTTCTTTGTTTTCATCACATTTCAGAGATGCTTTGTTCAACCATTTGGGGTCAGTAATGAATACTTTTAATCAGCAAAGTCACAGTATATTGATCAAAAGAGACCGCCAAGGCATTTATAATGTTACAAAAGACCTCAATTTGAAATAAATGCTGTTCTTTACAAATTTCTATTCAACAAAGTATCCTGAAAAAAGTATAACAGCATCCACAAAAATGGCAGCACAACTGTTTTTCAACACTGACACTGACACACTGTGATCAGAATTGTTGCTACCCATGGTACAGTGGGGAAAATATCTATTTGATCCCCTGCTGATTTTCTAAGTTTGCCCACTAACAAAGTAATGAAGGGTCTGTAATTTTTATGGTAGGTTTATTTTAACGGATAGAGACAGAATACCAACCAAAAAATCCAGAAAAAAACACATTATATAAAGGTTAGAAATTGTTTCAGTGAGTGAAATAAGTATTTGATCCCCAAGCAAAAAATGATTAGTACTTGGTGCAGAAACCCTTGTTGGCAAGCACAGAGGTAAGACGTTTTTTGTAGTTGGTCACCAGGTTTGCACACATCTCAGGAGGGATTTTGGTCCACTCCTCTTTACAGATCCTCTCTAAATCCTTAAGGTTTCTTGGCTGTCGTTTGGCAACTTGAAGTTTCAGCTCCCTCCACAGATTTTCTAAAGGATTGAGGTCTGGAGACTGGCTAGGCCACTCCATGACCTTAATGTGCTTCTTCTTGAGCCACTACTTTGTTGCCTTGGTGGTATGTTTCGGGTCATTGTCATGCTGGAAGACCCATCTTCAGTGTTCTGGCTGAGGGAAGGAGGTTCTCGTCCAAGATTTTACAGTACATGGACCCGTCCATTTGCCCCTCAATGCGGTGAAGTCGTCCTGTACCCTTAACAGAAAAACAGCCCCAAAGCGTAATGTTTCAGCCTCGGTGCTTGACTGTAGCGGAAACATTATGCTTATGTATCTAAACATTATGTATCTAAACAAGATGTCCAGGACCTCCAGCAGAAATATAGGCCCACAACATTAAAAATACAGCAGTACTTTTTATCCCTGATGTGTTCACCAAACCTATCTTGAGGGTTTGCTGCTAAAAAGCAATTTTTTTAGTTACATCTGACCATAGAAGCCAGTCCCGTTTGAAGTTCCAGTCGTGTCTGACAACAGAATATGCTGGGGATTGTTTTTGGATGAGAGCATTTTCTTTTCTTGATTTTTTTCTTGAAACCCTCCCAAACAACATGTGATTGTAGGTGCTGTTTGGTTTAAGGTTGTAGGGTTTTCTGACCCTGAGACTCAACTATTTTCTGCAATTCTCCAGCTGTTGTTCTTGGAGAGTCTTTAGCCACTCATACTCTCCTCCTCACCGTGCATTAGGACGATATAGACACACGTCCTCTTGGGTTAAGGAACTCAAAGGCGGAACTTAATCCTTGGTAAAGGATTACTAATGCAGGTTTATTTTCACAGACTTCATTGATCATATTTACCAAGGGTACCAACAATTCTGACCACGAGTGTATGGACCAATGATTATTTTTGAGCACCAAAACATAATATTAGAATGATTTCTGAAGGATCCAGTGACACTGAAGAGTTCAAATGTGACCATCTTACAACAAAAAGAATGAATCCCCTATAGGACATAAAAGTGCCTGCACTTATACAGTCATTTCAACAAGACAAGTGTCAAAATAAAACAGCAAGCTCAAACACAGTTTTTTTTTTCTGCTGACTCACAAATAAACTCTCACACCACCTCAGGATATTCACTTTTCATTTCTGCTCATATCTTTTTATCACGAGACTCCTTAGCCTGGTCATTTGGCCATAGGTATCTACAATCTGAACTAAAATGTAATTTGGCACAAGTTTCAGAGAAAATGTTTAACGATTTACTAGAAAAAAAAAATGTCTAGTTTAACCAGCACGTCTATCTTTGGTAAATTAAAATGTATACTGGGCTTTTAAATACTTTGTTTGTTCAGTTACTTCAAACATTAGTTTCTCTCGTATTGCTTGCTATATCACCTTTTCTTCCCAAACGTCAATTTGTCAAGTATTTTGTTTGTTTAATCGTCAAATTCAATCTTTAGCAGGACATCTGCATATCAAAACATCTCAGACATCTCAGTAGGCAGTTATTTCCGTTACCACTCAGGTGCACTTGTTTTTTTCCAGTGCTACACATGTATTTTCAACATTTGCTGTCCTAGGTTTGTTACCAGACGGTTTTCAGACCCCCACCTACAGTACCTCCATACTAAAAACCCACCAAGATCTGCTGAAGGGGGAGCCCCTGCTTTGTTTTACTGTCATGTTTGGTATTTCTAGTTTATGACTTTTCATACTGATTCATCTGAAGATTCAGAACATATCATTCTAAGAACATACAACCTGTTTTGTGATCATAAAGAAATCGAGTGGACATACGGTCTTTGGAGCACGTTGTACAATGATAGCACCAGTTGTAATTGCTGTTATAGTCATCCGTGAAGAAGCCATTTCCACATGGGGCACACAGAGTAACAGGCATTTTTTGTATGCAGTTCTCTAACACATACTCTCCTGTATAAACACACACAAAGGCAGGGAAACATGCATGTAATGAGAGACATTAGTGTGGCAGAATCATGCTGACTCTGACAAAATGCTGACATTCATGAACGAGGTATTCAACACTGACTGGTTTGAGAGCTGTTTACAAAGTTTACAAAGCTGAGTTCAGAGAACAGGTCATCCTCATACGAGAAACGTGATGTGTCATTCTAAGACCTTAGGTAAATGTCATTAAACCAGACTATAGCTGAACCCTGAAATATCCTTACATAATGCAATCGGCACATCCTGACTTTAAATGGTCTTGATTCGGTCTGCATAAACAGTCTACAATCAATTCTATAATAATTTGTCTATAAAATTTGATTCTTTTAACGTTTAACTCAAGTTCTTTTGCTTCAGTGCACTTTACGTTAATTATTTAATCTTAACTGAAGAACAGCTTAGTTCTTTCTCGTCTTAAGTGCAACTCTGACTCAAATCTGCTCACAGTGATGAGGCAGCTGATTTCATTTACCTGGTTTACATTTTGTGCAGCATGTTTTGTCATTTAAGTACTCTGTTTTGTCATCGCATGACTGTGATTGGACGAGAGGAAGGACATGTGATGAAAGCAGGAGGACACTGAGCAGGGCAAGCATCTTACTGGAAGAGAAAAAAAGAAGCGTGTGAAGGTTCAGAATGACACATGACACCTGGAATGACTTTAAATGTGTTCGCAGAGAATGTAAAAAGTCATATAAATCATGAATCTATTACTTGGCTGTAACTGGCCTTACTTCGTGTTAAATGTTTAATGTGATAATTACTGATAAATAACTTTTTGGTTATATTATGTTCCCTTCCTTTATATTGATCTTTTGTCACAAATTATGATCAATTACATATGTGACCCTGCACCACAAAACCAGTCATAAGGGTCAATTTTCTGAAATTGCGAATTATACACCATCTCAAAGCTGAATAAATAAGCTTTCCATTGATGTATGGTTTGTTAGGATAGGACAATATTTGGCAGAGATACAACTATTTGAAAATCTGGAATCTGAGGGTGCAAAAAAATCAAAATATAGAGAAAATCGCCTTTAAAGTTGTCCAAATGAAGTTCTTAGCAATACATATCACTAATAAAAAATTTAGTTTTGATATATTTACGGTAGGAAATTTACAAAATATCTTCATGGAACATGATCTTTATTTAATGTCCTAATGATTTTTGACATAAAAGAAAAATCTATAATTTTGACCCATACAATGTATTTTTGGCTATTGCTACAAATATACCCTAGCGACTTAAGACTGGTTTTGTGCTCCAGGGTCCCATATGCAATATAGAATATAAAAGCAGTGTATATATATATATATATATATACA